AATGACCGGACTGGGGAAACAAACTGAAACGCGGACTTAATACAGAGGACTAATGACAATAACCAGAAACAGCTGATCATATGGGGATCCCACACGAGGTTAACGAGGGGGCGTGGCACACGGATGGGGCGGACGATCGGGGCAGGACAGGGGTAATGTTGGGATAAGATCTTTATCGTTTTGGAAGCCATTAAGAAAAAAAATGCTCTTCTTGTTTTACCCTGTTCATTTTGTGTTTAAATGCAAAAAAAAAAACATATTTAGGTGTAATTTTGGGGGGCCGGGAACCAATTAACTGGTTTCCATTATTTCTTATGGGAAAGATTGAATCAGAACTCGAACTTTTTAGGATTCGATTCGGAGTCCACAACGGATTAAGTTCAAGAACCGAGGTACCACTGTATATGAAATATATGTAAACAATTGTGTTAAAACAGTTACAACAAGAATATTGAACATCTTCATATAAAAATGGCTAATGTGACTCAGGTAGAGTAATGCTATACAGCCAATGGGCTCTCTGTGATTCAGGCACAGTAATGCTGTACAGCCAATGGACTCTCTGTGACTCAGGCACAGTAATGCTGTACAGCCAATGGACTCTCTGTGACTCAGGCACAGTAATGCTGTACAGCCAATGGGCTCTCTGTGACTCAGGCACAGTAATGCTGTACAGCCAATGGGCTCTCTGTGACTCAGGCACAGTAATGCTTTACAGCCAATAGACTGTCTGTGACCCAGTGATTTAGACCCATGTTGAGCCTACACCTGTTTTGTATAACTGTTGCTACGATGCCTAGAGTGGGTTTTTTTAATGCTAGATATAAATAGCGTTTCAGTTTCAATCAGCAATATAAGTACCCCTGGGATGTATGCTTTCTTCGCCCCCATAAAAAAAAAAGAATGCTTCCAAGTGAACCAATCAAAGTTGTGGTCTGTGTTTTCGTGATGTATAGTTGTACAGCTACAATGTACTTACGGCGTCGAAGTATAAATCAGCCTTAGGTCTTTATAGCTATTGGGCTCTCTGTGATTCAGCCACAACAAAGCTTTATAGTTAATGGGATCTCTCTGACTTCAAAATACATACCTACTGGTTAGCATACCATTATCACCAATATGTGTTAAAACTGAAGATATCAGTGTCGGTCTGGTGTGTCTGTCCAATATTTAAACTTAAATTTTTGAAAGTTAGCATCACCAGAGCTAAAGACATAGCTACTAAAATAATGGAGATGCCTGCACTGAACGATCAGGATGAGGGAATTCTTCAGCGCATTCACAAATCTAAAGAAATAACAGACACAATGACAAGATCTGCCTAGTTGGTGGGGGGGGGTAATAGCAGAGTCCAAAAATATGGAACAATGGTTCAAAATGGGACATAGTATTACATGTCACAATACAGCGTGGGGGTAATACCATTATTAAATGTGGCCCACAGCTCCACAGGTTGATCTTCCTTTTTTCGCAAATCAGGACTGACAAACTTCACTGCCCACTGTTCCACACCCTCCCCACCAAAATGGCTCACAGGTTAACCAGTTACCGGTGTCTGCAATACTAATAAAAAATAAACCGGTTATCATATAAACGCCCGATGAAGGTGGTGAAACACGGACAGAATTTAAAAACAAAAGGATTGTAATTTCAGGAGGGCACAGAGGTGGGTACTCACACCTCTAACATTAGCAGTTTGAATCCCACCTCCGCTCCGTGTGTGTGTGTGGAGTTTGCATATTCTCACTGCGTCAGGTGAGCCAAGTTCACCGGCACGAGTGACAACGGCCACCCTTCACTGGAGAGAACATCATCACTACTGCTCATGGACATTTCTCTTAAGTCCCATTTACCTTAGAAGACTGTTGGCTTAGTGGACAACATCAGAGCATCAAAGCATCTTCACAGTCCTGTCTATCGGCTGACCGGATCTCAGATTATCCTTTTTGCTGAAGCACATCCAAAACTTTGCAGAGGTGCAACCTTACGTGACCAGGCTCCATGTTGGCTCTATTCTGGAGCCGCAATGGCCGGCCGATCGGCGAGTTTCAAAAAGGCGCCCCTGAACACCGCAGATATGCTAAGGAGTATAAACAGGGAAGAGAGTAACCAGGGCTAACGCACTCTACGTTCCCAAGACAACCATACGTGGCCACGTCAAAGACGTAGTTATTGCTAGTAAGCTGTACATTTACTTTAGATAATTTATTTACCAAGTTCATTTTTAACAGGTATATAAAACTGTGATATACGAGCTGCAGAAGCCGGTTTTGCCATATTTTACTTACTTGCAGATACTCACCACCTCTTTCGCCCTGGTGGAGAAGCCATTCTTCGGTCTGCTCTTCTTCAATATTTCGTCTTTCGCGGAATCAAATCCAACTCCTATAGCTTTATTTCGCGTTTTGACCGTTTTTACACTGGCTTTGAATAATAATGTGATATCAGCTGCCATTTCTGACAGTGGGGGCACTTCCCTCAGATGCGCTGAGCCACTGTCGACATCGACACGTCATCTGTGTTTCGTCATCTTTACGCGACGTGTTTTGGTTCGCCACGTGGAATAGCTTGGTATTGCACAAGCTATGCGGATTTAATTTGCTTTGTACGTCACAAGACAGTATTTTATACTTTGTCTTTATATTGAGTATGTGCTGTTGGCGAATATAAAGGACTGTGCAATTTAATCACGGTGGTATTTCCTTATACTTCTCCACAAACCACTGGGCAGAATTTCTGTACTCTACTATCTTCACGATCGATACAGGTCTAAAAAGTCAAAGGAAAAAGGAAGACACCGGAGGCAGGACTCAAAGAAAGGTGTCAAAGCAATGCAAATATGCATAAAGGAAGTATTTTGCTTGTAGCAAGCATAAGTCAACATGAAACAAAGCGACATCATGAACATTTCAGGCATTTTAGGTCCCAAAAAAGGGCAAGTCCAGAGAAAAGAGGACGTATGGTGACCCTAGAGGAATAAACAGGAAGAAAATCATTTTGTTAGTCTGGTACTCAAATAATTCTCCTCTCACAGCTGGTTCCATGGCCACGTTATTTCAGTCCTCCACAATTGGGGGCTTTGCTTTAAGTGCTACCGAGGTAAAGTTAGTTTACTATTCAACATTTTACATTCAAAATACGAACCTATTACAAACTTCAACCATTTCAGTGGAAGATGTCAATCCAGCTGTTCAGCATACAGGCTACTGTGCGGCATGAGCCACAAGCCTTGTTTTTGAAATATTCCTCTTGTACAATTTTTATAGACTTAAAAATGACCTATGCACATAAAGCTATTATGCCCCCTAACCATGTGACCTCATATGATGTTGTTTTGTTTTTTGTAAATAGAATATCTTACATAAATCAATGTAAGATATCCACTTGCTGAGGTCACTGGCTGTGCTGATGCATGATTGGCAGCTCTGTTGAGGCAAAGGAAACGCCTAATTTTACATGCTGTTACCATTTGAAAACAAACCAAGGCAGCTCCCAGCATGATTCACTATTCATGTATTTTTGTAATCCTTTAAAATGCATAATTATTATTAGCAGGTTTGTGTCTGTTTTTATATTCTTATATTATTTTTATATTGTCTTTATTACTTTATCACTTGTACTAAAAGGGGGTGACTGCAAAAGATCATCAGCACAAATCATAGATCCCTAATAGTGTGAAATAATGTCCAGTTTACTGAAGCGTGAGGCCAAATTGAATATTACTTGAAATCAGATTGAAAATTATTTTGTGATGTCTTTGATTAAAGTGAACAAACAAAAAATTCTTCCAAATTACAGTTGAGTATTAGACAGTATAGTGAACAACAACAACAGTAATAATAATGATGGCCTTGTGCATCACTGGTCAGCACTATAGGCTCATTGCTTGAGGGAAACGGGTTCCATTCCTGCCCCTCACTCTGTGTCTGTTGAGTTTTCCTCTGGATACCTTGTTTATGTTTTTCCCATTTGCACTTATGTAAAGTTTGTGAATCGGTGACTCTAAATTACCTATCTGTGTCCCACAATGGGGGACTGGCATCCCATCCAGGGTGTCCCCTGCCCTGCTACCAGTGCTGCTTGGGGCTCAGAACCCCATAGAACCATATGTAAGATAATAGATAATAATTTTGCAGTTTCAGTAAATGGGGGGGGGGTGACTACAGCCAAAAAGCTAAAAATGCCAAAAGTCTTGTATTAGATTTGGTTACTTATGGTTAAGGTTATGGCTGGGTAGAGGTTAAGGTTATCAAGGTGGTATTAGAGTTTTCCCCTTAGAATTGAATGGAGAGTCCCCACAAAGATATAACTACAAACCTATGTGTGTGTCTGTGTGTGTGTGTTTGTACAGCACTGGAGTGGCTTCCCATGTGCCCTGCATCGTACCCTGTGCTTCCTTGGATGGTTCCCAGGCTTCACTGGATAAGTACTGATGGAAAACACGCAAAAGAAGAAGAAGAACAAAGCCAGCAATCAGTTAATTTCAGAAAGCATACAATAAACCCATTGAATGGTAGGAGGAAAGACGTGGGACTGTTTTTCTCAGGTAACAGTATCCGGAACATACCCAGGAGCCGCGTGCATGTTATAAGCCACAGGCCGCATGGCTGGTTGGAAAATCCCACTGCGATATGTTATCTGCTCTGCACCCTCTGATCATTCCGCAGCAACAGGCCGGCGTGGCCAGGCCACAGTCTGGGGCCCCTTCATCTGTCTGTAAAAATAAATAAAGCCCAGTAACGTAAAGTTTGAGGCTGAATATTTACGACACATAACTTACACTTCGGGTTTTGCGTTTCTCTAACGAACAATGCGGTTTCCAAGGGAATGGTGATTTAATGGTAATCATTACATCCCATTAAAACATCAACGGGATGGTTGGAGTTTAATCAGTCTTGTTGTTGCCACGCTAGACTGAAATAAAATGATGGTTTGCGTGTAACATGCTGTACCACTCTCATGCGGATCCTGAGCAGCTCTCACATCTGTTAGTCAGCCGAGACCAAGGGGAAGGCTGGTGCAGCTATCGACATTATTACTAAGCTTCTGGAAAGTTTTATTGGGGGATTTATCATTGGCCGCACTCAAAGAATGACTCTGTTATCCCCTAATTTACAGTGTCAGCGGTCTGAGCGTCGTAAATAACTCCGAAAAATGGCTAGTTTGCCTTCCTTAATAGCAGGGTTTATGCAGGAAAATACCATCATGGAGTTTGAATGTACGTTTATGTCCATCAATTAAAAAATGACATAAAAATGGGCTTAGGGAATGAATCACAAAAGCCTTTGAGGCAACACTCCAAATTCTTCTTTTCTTCGGTCACAAAGGTAAACAGCCCTCTGGGTCTGCCAACCTTTCTGCTTTTTCTCCACGGATAACCCTCCCCCAGACCAAGAACACTTACAATAGAGCTGTTTACCCCTTCACCGCAACTGTAAGACAAGTAAAGTTCTCATTTTGGAAAAAATAATTTTATATATATATAAATAAAATAAAATAAGTTTTCTTCTTAAAACCATAGCTGCAAACCCTCTGGATGATCCAATCCAAATGATCAATTTGGTTATAAGTTGTGGTTTATTGTTGAATGTTTATTGGTTAGAATATTAATCAATGGGAATAAAATGCAGTTAAAAACAGAAAGTCCCTCCTGTGAGAAAAACCCTTGAAATATTCTGCCATTAAATGTTGTGTCTGTAATACAGGCCATAACAATCAGTGTTAAGTATTTTTCCTGGGGCATCCTGAAGAAGCTAATAGGGCCAAACAGTCTTACCAAATTTAATTTAATTGAAAATGTGTAACAGGGTAACTTATACAGGTAATTATATTTGACCACTGAATAATTAATCTCCCCGTGTTTGACATGGTTTCCCCCGACCGAGGACTGAAGCAGTGAGTAATAATCCGTGACAGTAATCACCATGGCGACCCCACTAACGAAGACCTGTATGTCTGTTGCCTGGGCGCTGTGGGCCATGTTTTGCCCGTTGCGGCCCCCAGCCCTGATCCGGCTCCGGGGGGTCGGGGCTAGTATCGCTGCCCCTTGCTGATGATCACCTCCTTCCGAATACAAAGAGGCCATGCCGCAGGCTCCTGAAGGACCCAGCTCGCCCGTGCGTGTTACGGCCCCTGTGGGCCATGTAACCGATCTTGATGTTGGGAATCAGCCGTAACCTCTGACCTCGCGGGTTTATCAGACACAGGAAAACAGGCGTCCGTGAGCAGCACCGTCTGTCAGGAAACCTGCATGCCAGTTTAAGACATGCTGAAGCGAAATGAAAAGCAGACATCAACAAAAAGAAACATTTCCTGACGATAAGCCATCTCCTTTAATGCAAATGTAGTTAGTGTCTGAGATACGGCTGGTCCTCTCCTGCTTTTTAATGAATATATCCGAGTTAGTCTGTGAAGTTCCCTTCTCTGGGTTTGAACTCCTTAAGAGTATTTAGTTTGGACTTTTAAAGAAAGATAATATGTTTATTTGAAATAACCACAACATTTCATAAAAAATTGAACCTTAGAGCTGCCAGCAGAGCTAAAATAATGTCCTGTCTAGACGTATGTAGTAATTTGTACATAATATTTCTCGCGGCGTCCTTAGGCTGGCAGGCCTCTCCGAGAGCAGGCCTGCTGTGCAGCGCAGCCTCTCCGTTCACCCTGTGGTTTTCTCATTTCCGTTATTTGCTCTGCGTCAGCCTCGGTTCCCCAGCGATGCCGTCGCCTCCTGCCACCTCAGCCCTGTCTTCCGCCTGCGTTGTGAGAATGGGCCCTTTCACGGCCCGAGCTGAGGACGCTGTCTGATGTCTGGGGGCTGAGGGTTTGGAGGAACTACTAGGGCCTCATGTCTAATATGCATGGGGGGGTGGCAGGCAGAGAGACCCATGGACCTTCTGTGGAGTTTTTCCTCTGTATCTCACAGATAAAGGCACATCAAGTGCTTAGGGTTACTCTTACTGGGCTTTCCCTTTGTGTGAAAGCATCTTTCGTAAATTCTGCAAAATTCTCATTTTCTCTGCATTTCAAGTGTCTCTGGAGATTTTGAAATGAGATCCCAGCTTTCCTGAATATTATGGGTGTGAAACCAAGTGATCCCCTATGATGTTTATTGCACCATTAACATGAAATGAAGTACTTTTCTTTTTCAGATTGTGTGTGTATGTGTGTGTGTGTGTACGTGTGTGTGATTGGACTGACATCCCATCCAGGGTGTCCCCAGACTCCTGCTCTATGCTGCTTGAGACAGTCCCCACATCTTCTGCACCCCTCCCCCCCCACACACATCCCCTGCCCCCCGCGATACCATCCAAAATAAGCATTTGGAGTTTTGGTGGAATGAAATCCACTGGTAATGTTGTGTTGCGCAGCAGTTCTCCTGTTTCTGTAACAAATCTTATCGCCAAGAAAGCTGACTACCACACAGTAGCTTTACAACCTGCTATTAAATGGTTTTTAAGCTATAGCAGGTCACAGCAAAATGTTTATGTTACTCCTGTGAGCGTGTTTGATACAATCAGTGACAGGTTAGTCAA